CTTTAGAGTTAGGTCAACTGTATTCTTTTTACATACTTATATGATATACTTACTGTGTGTACACTGTAAAAAGTATTGTCAATCACAGAAGTCCGATTACCTAATGTACTTCCTTCAGGCAGGTCTCCAAATTGTCCCGACTGATAAATAGTCTCAATAAAATAATATCATTGAAGACTTGTCTTACATCATTCATCGCTACCATGGCATTAATTTTGTTACTAAAGGATGAACATTGTTGAACATAGGGTGGCTGAACTTAAATCAAATTTAAAACTGTCTTGACTGTACTGCTTCTGCAAAATCTCACGAATTTTTGAGATAAGTTGAAGTTTTTAAATGTCAGTGCAAGTTTTGAAGGTACAATAAAGGAGTAGGAAATTCCAGATCGAACGTTTTATTTACCCACCATTGTAGGCCGCTTCCTATCACCGTGTCGGATGAACTTATGGCAATAATATTGTGTTCTGGCGTGTTGTTGTGGTCAAGCTTAGTTGACTTGGTGGTAAACACTTAAAGTGCATTTCCACAAACTAGATCCGTTGCTGATCAAATAAAAGACACCCAGTTCTATATGTACTGTCGATAAACATTAAATAATCCTATGAACGTTTCAGTAGCCTGGTTACGGCCTGTTTTATGCAGTCCAGAATATCAGCCATTCTGTTTTCTAAAGTGGGAGTATCTTGAGTATCGATTATATGGCCGACAGGTTTGAGAATCCGGTCCATTTTGAGATTTCTAAATGTTAACATCAATTCCACGTTTCGTAAGTCATTGAAAATCAATGTCCAAATGCTGGGAATGAATTTTCATATTCTTGCTTGCTATAAGACCACTGTTAACATATCTTCCTCAGATACACTTCGACCACATGGATTTGGGAAAAGACAGCCATAAGTCTCAAAGTAGCTGTCAGATACTGTATGTGAGGTTACAGATAACTATCAGGAGTGATTTTCGTATTGCTTCACCAATATAATTAAATCTTTGATGGCAATTCTTTCTGGGTTTTTTTATCGGAACCATATGAGATGGGGTAACCCATGGGTTGTTTGGTAGTTGGGTTATTATTGAAAATGTCATATGAAAGGAAACTTTATTCGCCAATCTTTGATTTTTAGGAGCGATTATCCCAACTCTCAAAATACAGGTTGTCCTCTAGTCATCATGTGAAACGTAACATTGCTAGTCAAACAGTAATTCGTCTGTGGTTTGTGAAACTCGGATTTCCTACCGGGCATAGGTAGAAATATGAACCGAATGTATGTTTAACTAAAAGAGAGAATAGTTTGAAACCAGAAAATGAATTTCCACAAAAGTATTAGGTAGTCTTATCGTCCATCAACCATTGTTTAGTATAGTCGACGAGTGGGTTAAAATGTACATTCAGGTTCTGGCTCAGTGTTGATATTTCCACTTCTTCATCAACATAGATCTAGTGTATGCGTCTGCATAAACTGTGGTAATCAAGAGTATCTGAATAATAGTACAAACTGAGAATCCCAGAAATAACTCAATTTAACCAAGAAGTATTAGTTGAGCACGAACAATCATATTGTATTTGGATATCGAAATCAAGCATTCAACAAGTACAAAGGAATCGTTAGCTCATACAAACACCACAAAAACCCACGTTAAAAGTATCTTTACGGAATTCAGTATTCAGTTTTCCGTTTTTTGCTTATAGACTGAACACCAAATTTTGAAGATGATCGTTTGAATTTGCAGAAAGTCTGAACCTACGTTACGTGCTATTTGGCTCTTGTCAAAAATATTTATTTGTAATCTTTATTGGACTAACGCCACCTGTTGGATTTGATCCCATGTTACTCAGCTGCAGTGACGGAGACGTTACTACCGAACATTCTGGGCAGTAACTTCTACAAGACTGAGATGTATTTACAGTTCCATCAAGACTACTGCCGGATATCCTAAAACCAATTCCAGAACTTTTTGTCAAGTACTCCTAACTGCCTCCTTACATCTCAACATAGTCCACGCGACGTCCAGCCCTCTAGGCTAGTAGCCAAATTACAACTAAGCCGAGAGAATTAGATCTGCATTATGAGGGGAACAAGAAGCACGACATAAGCCATTATACAGTGATCAATCGCTTTTAAGCACACATTAAACATTACAACAAGGAACAGGTTCTCAGTTCATGGCTTCCTATACCAGATCACGTCAAAACTCATCTATGTAGATCTTTTCATTTGTCGATTCGGCGACTGAACGCTGTTGTTGGTATCACGCCCAAGCGTTGAAGCTTATCAATTATAGTTTACAGCTGCTTCCTAAAAAGGCAGTATTTTGTTACATACTGTGGAACATTTGCATCTAATCGGTAGTAAAAGCTTGTCCACTAAATAAGAAGGACATCCTGCAAGCACATTAATTGGACGGCACGAGATGGTTCACTTATATCTTCAAGTATTCGGGTTTTGAGTCCTAGTAATTTAACAGCTCTTGAAGGCCAATACACTAGTTGACAATTTGTATTTCCGTTCTTAAATTATTTCACGGTTTCGATCAACTATTTTCATGCGATAAGAATAACAGACACTTTTCACTTACGTCATCAACATATAAGATCATCACCCTTCAGTAATTTAGCAAAGCTACAACAATTTTAATAAAACAAATCAGCCACTCACAGAAAATAAATTCAATAGCTAAATAACATTCGTACCAAGACCAGATTCTAGATGATATTCCCCACCTCTCTGACGGTTTAAAAATCCATGAGACTTAATGCTTATCTTTAAATTCTGAACCGTAAATTATCAGCTGCAAATCTTGACTTTGAAACCAAACCATGAATCATTTCTTAAACCTAAATATTAAGTATAAATCCTAGTAATCACATCATAAATAGTTCATTCATATTTGCTGTATTATGATCGGCCATGTTAACATATTGCCAGGGTCACTCACAGATTCCTTAAAGCTCACCCTTTTAGTTCAGCTCTATTCGTCTAAGAGATTGGACATTGACTATGTGTAAACACCGTGTTGCTTATTCCCATTGATTTCAACAAATATCATGGCATTATGTGAAATCCACGGAAACGCCTGTAGGCGACTTACAAAACATGCTAAAATACAGAGTTCTCACCCTCGTTTATGCTTATCAAGGTTGTGGAAAAGGGAGATATTTTAGACCACGTCATCTGATATTTGGAACGAACAATATTGGAGAGTATGTTAAATTATATCCACATTTATTACTGAACTCGTTTAAAATGTATCAATTCAATGTACAGAAAAACACATCTTCCTAATATCACTAGACTTTTGATTGAGAAGTCTATTAACATTGTAGTGACCTATTTTTATGACGAGAACGCGATTGGTATAATGGAAGCAATTATTATTACAACTAACTGAACCAGTGATTGTTTTACTGCACCTGTTTGTTTACGTGTACCTAAAAACACTCGCTTGTTTGTGACCTTGCGCGGACTCTCATACGCTCGGTAGTCTCGCTTGTAGACTTTGGCACAATCTCGGCATTATTTCGATGCCACGAGATCGCCAAAAAATCACATCTTAACTACAGCTTTCTGATACTTGGCCTACGGAGATGTCTAACCCGGTAACTGGCACGTAGTCGAACTGTAGTGGTGATCATAGTCAACCACGAATCGACGCCGACTACAACATACTAAAATCTCACACGGCAGAGCTTAACGACTACGTTATGGGTTTTACCATAAGATATAATTAATTTTCATCTATGAATTTTCCACCATTTCGTCTTATATACAATATATAGTAACTGATAATTATTCAACGACCTGATTTTTAGCTTTAAATATCGATTTTGAGAACATTTCAATACATAACAACGCAATATTGTGTATCCTTGCCTTACATAGATATGCACGAAATCATATTATTGTTACGCCACCTGAATGCCATTTCAGCTCAAACTAAAGTGAATGAGTCTTGTTGAAATCCCAGTCCAGAAAATTTGTCTCTTAAGGAAGAATAAACAAAAAATACCTAGTCAACTGCTTCTTCGAACATAATACCTCCTCATGTTATTAGTTTATTCTCTCTCTGCAGTCTCCATCACTGTCATTTTTTGGACATAACTTACTACCGGCTCTGATAACAACGAAACCAAACTAGTGATTTTCATTTCACTAATTTATTTAGTCATTTCGAAACGAGGTTATTAGCATTAAACAACTGGGGTTCGCTTCAGTTTAACCACAATTCCTACGTATACAACAGATGACAAGTATGACAAACATTTATGAAGAAGCCAACATTCTATAACTCAGATTCGAAATTCACCCTAGTTACTTAATTACATTGAGTTCCTGTTTAATTTGTTTGATATTACAAAATATATTTACATAGCTTTTATCGCCTACCTCCTTCCAATTTCTCAACCAGCTTCCTACTACTTACGAAAGCAAAATTTTGTAATCTGCATAAATGTTCCAGCCAAGTTGTATCATTGATCAACCCCCCCTTGACGTTTACGATTAGGATTTATAAAACAACAGTCTCTACTTAATCATATTGTCAATATTCTCTGGGTAACTGATTAAACAACCGCTAGGTCCCAAATAACTGCTCTTTTGATGTACAATGCACTACGGTTATAAATCGTTGAACTAATTACTTTCTATTATGTTCTTTTTACCATTTTGAGTACTACCTGACCACTTTCAAATAAACAAAACATTTGATTACATTCTGATAGTGTACTACACTTTAAAAATAATCTAAAAATGTCATACTAATGACAGACATATGGTACCAAAGACTGTTTTGCAAAATTTTTCTGGATGACATCAGTTGTAAGTCAGCTGAGAAAACTACTTTTGAATTACATTACTAATGGATTTTTTTTTAGACACGGTAGTATTGACATTTATCTAGCGAAACAAGACCTACATAAAAGGTTCATTTACAACAATATATATATATATATATATATATATATATATATATATATATATATATATATATATATATGCAATAGAAAATTGAAGGATAGAGTATCTCCGGTTAAAAATTTTTTTTAGAATAAGACGATTTATTTACAATCCGCAAATGACTTAAGCATAAAGTATAATTTAGTGTACTGCTCCTGATTTACTATATATTTCATAATCAAAGACTTCATTCTGTTGTTCATCAAAATATAAACCGATATAGTCCAACTCCAAACTAAACGGCCCCTCAATATCATCCATTAAAGTAAATGAAAGAAGACGCATATTTCCTAGATTCGCAGGAAATTGTCTATTATGTATAATATTTGAACTACTGTGATAAAATTTAGATAATGGGATTTTAGCTATTTGCCAATATGGTCCACCTCGAGTGTACAATGTAAATTGGTGTGTATTAAAACGGTTAAAATCCCATCGTGCACGAGGTAGCACAACAATTTGATATTTTCGACCATCTCCACGATATCTAAAATGGGATGTTTGAAAAAGCTGCAAGGTATTCTAATTTAAAATGTATGAAAAGAAAAAATCCAACGTAATGATGATAATATAAGAGTCAACAAACTATACTATTCGTAAAAACATTGCTAGTTTTCTCCGTAATTAAACAACTAACCGATCAATAGTACTTTAACGCCTGTCAGTCAGATTCAATGTGATCATGATACTTCGTGTACCTGTTTGATTTTCAGTCAATGAACATAATAATAAGCCTAGAAGTTACTTATAATTCGTTCATCAAGACTTTTACTACTGTTAAATACGTGAATTTTGCACAGTATTTTTATCATTATGAAGTCAGTTCCTTTCTTCATCTTTTACTAAGTAGAAACGTTTACGTAGCTAATACCAGTTAAAAAATCAGTGGAATACTGATATATGGGTGAAGAAGGTCCTGGGTTCGAATCTCACGTGCGGGATTATGGATGAGCACTGTTCACTAGTCCTATAAGAGAAAGAAATGGCTGTCCAGTGCTTCTAAGATTTCAATGGTGGTATAACATTGATCGAGTCATGATCTCAATAAAAAATCCTTTGTATTATTTAAACTTGGATTAATTGTGGTTTGGTTATTTATCCTCTGAAGAAGTGGCTTACACTAAGTCACGAAATGTCAGAGAATTTAATTTTTCTACTCATTGGGATATTATAAATATATTAACTTATTTACATTATATATTAGTTATTTTTAATTTAAACAAAAGTTAACAAAAACATTTTCCATGCAAATGATACGAAATTTGACTATATATATACAGTAAACCAGTTAACGACTAGGTGGAATATCTGTCACAATGAAGGGATGTGGTGAAAATTAAACCAATTAACACAAGTATCACCTATTGTAGAACAATGAAAACGTTGGTATTCAAGTAGCAATAGGTTGGGTAAAATAAATAACATGGGATATAATTAAAATGACATTAAAAACAATAATTTCAATCATTCAGCTGAAATAAATATCAAAAACGTAGGTTAACCGAAATTTAATTTGTTCATTTTTTTATTTTAAAAAATGTATTTTTCTATTTCTATTATTATGTGCAAAATCACACAGTTTATCTGTAAGATGTGAAAACCATACACTAAATACATTATTTGCGCATCTTTCTTCAGTTGTCTTGCCTATACTTCTTCATTCTTTAAATTTCGTTTTTATTTCAATTTTTCTCTGTTTCCTTTTCTGTTCTATTCAATTTAACTTTCTCAATCTTCTGCTGGCAGGCATTTTACCTCCTACTGGAGCTACGTTCTACTTATATCTGTCAACATAAGTAGCCTACACCACATATAATAATTAAATACTACTTAGTTGGTTTCTTCACCACTTTTAATGAATTTCTTCTCGATGCATGTAAAATCCTTCAATCATCTTTACTATGACTAAAAATGAAACAATGCTAAAAATTTTGTTTAGTAATTTCACTGAAGTTTCAGTTTTTTTTTAGAAAGAAATAGCTTTTAACAACCACTATATAGGTAAACAAGTTAGCAGTGTCAAATATTATCTAGCTATTGTAGGATATTGTTTTGCAAAAATAAATTTAGATCATGAAACAACAATACATTAAACTGCCCTCTCAAAAGGTTTAGTCAGTTATGCACTCTGATTCAAGTATTTAAAAGGCGATATTGACCGATATTTCTTGAATAATAACATAAAATGATAAGAAAGTAATATTGGGAATGCTAATGAAACAGAGTATACCCGAACAATGTATTCTCTGACAGGTAGAACCACAAAGTACAATAACTATTAACTTTTTTATCTGTTACACATTAAACGGTTAGAAAATAAGGATAGGATACAACTAATTCATAGGGCAAAAATGTGTTCCCTGAAAGTTAGAAGCAAAGTCCAGCCAAAAGGCGATAAGATTAAGTTAGCTCAATGATTTTCAAGAACAAACAGTCACTAAAATGTAACCATCATGTGTATAATTAATTACCTATTCGAAACATTTTTTCTCCACAATTAGGAAAATAGATTTTATCTTTAATGGAACAAAACTGTACTGTTTTTATTTTAATGTTGAAAAAGCAAAGCTAAACAGGATACTGAAGGTTGTGTGCTATTGGATCCGTCTGCACGATATCACAGAGCCCATGAAATTGTGAAGCGACTAATTTGAAGGGCAAATGTTGTGGCTCGTCAGATGATTGATAATCTGGTTGAGAGAAACAACTTAAATTATAACGATGGGGAGGCTTTCTTCCACTTAGCTATTAGGACCGAAAACTGTACCATCAAACCGGAAGTACACCTCAGATATGAATTCTTTAGGAGTAGCGAAGCCTTTGAAACTCTAAATGCAAGATAAATGTGCTGAGACAGTTGGTAAGATGACAGACAATGAGAGGTGACTTTCCCTGAATTGAATAAGTTCATTTCGTCACAATCTATAATCGCTAAAAGCCGCTTCGTAAATGAGAGATGATGATAATCAAGAAAACTATTTTCAAGGATTTCGGACAAAAGTAAGAAATCAATAGCTTTTGCCTTTCTTTGATCACACAATATATGCAATAGAAATGCCTTCATATGGTCTTCAAAACACTTAAACGTTTTCAGAACATTCCTTTTCGTCATCAAAGCGTAATAATAACGATATCAAGAGTGTCAGTTTTTCACTTTTCTATTCAGATTTCATACAACACCGAATCAATCAGTTTTGAGTAATACTAATTTATTTATGGTAAACTGTCAAGGGTAATGTTTTATGAGTGATTCACTAAATAATGGGCGAACTGGTGAAGTAGAAATGCTACATTAAATAATGATTTTTATAGGTGAATTCGTCGTATCAATGTGGTGATAATGATCCCATCTCCCTTACTTCTCAGAAAATTAATTAATAAAGATTTCGCAGACAATCATGAATAGTTTTATGGCTATGTGAGAGATTCAAAAATAAAACACTGAAAGGAATAAATTCCGACTCAAATAAATTTCGTTATATAGATGTACATAAATATATTTCTAAACAATATTAAGATCAGGAAGTTGTTAATAAGCCATAAAAAAACCAATGAAATTCATAACACTTTTGATTTCTACGAACTCCCTGTTGAATGACTGAAAAGGAACTTCGAAAGAAATCAAATGGTCATTTCAGGGATAGCTGAAGTTCGGCTAGGTACAATGTATTAACCGTTTGGTTTAATTTATAGGTGGTTTCTTTATAATGAATTAACAAAAAAATTGCGGTATCATAAAAAATGAAATCAATTAGACAACTATCTTCAGTCCTACCACAAAACTCTTTAATTTTCTAGAGTATAGCCCCCTTGGTTTTTATTGATGACCCATCTTATGTCACAATTTGTGACAAAAACTGTTGGCATTATTCTTTCATATTACTTGACATGCATACATACTGAAATATATATGAACACCTACCTGATAATTAAATGTGAGTAAGCTTCAAAACCATAAGGCATAACACATCCAAATAAGTGACTTTCTGGACTGCGTAGATTTGCAAAACCTGCACGAACAAGATCACCTCGTTTAGGCACACGTGTACTAATGAAACCACGAAAATGACCGTAACCTTTAAACTTTGGATCAGAGGATGTCATGACAATAGCTGCTGAACTCGCCTGTTTACCACCAGGTCGATATAAGAATTTTGGACTGAAGATAAATGGTACCACCAATAGATTCAAGATATATATATATATATATATATATATATTAAATAAGTACAGGGTAAAGAATATATATTTAGGATAATGGTTACTAATTTATTTACATTAAGATTAGTCTTCATTTACCAATTTTTCTGTGTTCTATGATTAAAAACAGTAATTTTAACATTTTAGTTTTCAGTATTAATCAAAACAGAATCGAAAAATATAATCATGAAACTATAAAACTTTTGTAATACAACATGAAGCGCTGTTGTAATTGGGGTATATATTTGGGACAGTTGTAGATAATCAGGGAAGATTGGTTCATAGAAACAATTAAACCTATCAATTGTAATTTATCAAAAAATCATATTGATAATTCAGAAGAAAATGTTCCATAAGATAGCTTGAAGCTTTCAGTAATTTAGAGAAGTGTAGCTGAAAGTCTTAGTTATACTGTTACGAATAACATTGACCACAGTGGAAGCTGTAATGCATGAGTGCCTATAGTATTTTGTATATGGAAAATTTATAAATTATGAAAATTTTAAGTCGATAGTGTTTATCGTATAATATCCATTCATAGTGCTACCTAATAGTAATAGTCCTATTCAATGTTTTAGTGTTAAGTACTGCTTACGATAGTCACACGGACCCCAACCAAGCAGTATGTATCAATCAATATGGCTCAGATCAGAAGTAAGTGACTTCAAGGACTGATGACACGTTTTCTTTTAGCCGCCCCTAAATCCCTTCCAAACATCTCCAACACCAGTCAGCATTGCGCGTCATGGTAATCCGTGGTTGGGCTGCGTGGCCCATTATTGCTTAGTGATACCAAAAGACTGCATTTTATGAGCCTCTTCTCCAAACAGGACTATGTCATCTGCGTATTCTCAGTCGATAAGTGAACCTCTTGGAAGGAGATAAATTCCCAAAAAATCAGTCGACGAGAACGTTCTTTACAGCAGTAGGTCTAAGATCAAATTGAACGAAATGGAAATAGTGGATAGTCCTGAAGGACACCATTTGAGTTGCAAAATCAGATGATAGTTTGCCATAAGCTCTGACTCGACTGTTAGTGTTCGAGTAAAGAGTCCTCACGAGGTTTATGTACTTCTGAGGTACACCTTTCAATGACAGACACCTAAAACTAGACCACAACACTTAAAGACCTCTGGAGCTAATCCATTGGACCAGCTGCTCTTCCTCGTTTCAGATTAGCCATAGCTATTTGAACTTTAATTAGAGTCGGGGGTCTACTTGAATGTTCCATTCAGGCTATTTGGGAATGGTGGGTAGCTGTAGAGTAGTTGAAGGCCGGCTGAACTGCTTCTAAACGTCTGGACTGATAGAAGATAAGTGTCGTCTTCTGAGATCGTCCCACTTACACATGACTTCTTAATTCCAGTTTCTTTTATTAGTCTGAAAAGCTGTATTGTGCTACCTACAACCGCTGCTTTTTCCATAACTCACAGTCGTTCTTAAACTTTTGGTTAGCCTAGATTTGATTTGTTTTCGTTCATTATCGTGCTTAGAGCCTGATAGGATAAGTTTAAAAGAGTCTACCACTGCAATAGATGTCGCAGAAATCCACTGGTTTTTCGTAATCCTTTGGTTCAAATCACTAATGGATATGACTGTTTCCACAGCTGTTCGTATATCTTTCCAAACAACATCGGGGCTAGCCCCGTTTTCAGAACTGCCAAAGTGTGACCTTAGTTGTTCCTGGAATCTACTTTTGTCACTGAGTTCGACTCTGATCGCTCTTCTTAATGTGGTTTTTCTACATCCAGTGAGGTGCAAGTAAATATGTGCTCATATGGGAGCATGATTGGAGTCCAAACAAGTATTTCAGAACCAGCGACAGCCTTCTATCGAGTCTCTCCAATGATGACTGATGAGAATATGGTCTAGTTGAGTTCATCGTTGGTTTGGTGCAGGGGGCCGCCATGTTTAGCGATGCCTCTCCTTAAGCTTAAAGTTAGTGCTTGCTAAAAATAACCGATCATCTGAGCACACTTGCAGCAGACGGTCATCATTATCTGCTCTTTCAGCTGGAATACTAAAATACCCACCTAAATGTCTTTCTGTTTGATTTAAGCTACTTACCTGGGCGTTAAAGCCGCCTGCTACGAGTACTATGTCAGAGTGTTTAGCATTTTAAGAAGTTTAGAAAGCTTTATGTAAAATTCATCTTTCACTTTATCCGAGGAAAAGGCAATAACGTGTGAACTGACGAAGTGATCGCAGTGCCCAAGGAACAACACACAACTTTTTTATGAGTAATTTTCGTGTTAGCTCTGTACTTGTTGAGACCTTACCACCGAAGACGGATATCCGTGGGACAAGGCGAGGTGTGCATTTTTAGAGTCGACCTTTTCTAACCCCACCTTTATGGGAAAGCAGCATCGGTGTTATACTGGTTGTCTGAAGGAAACATCTTACTGCCATCACACCTCTGTACAGTCAGTTGTACGACTTTAGCCTCGGACATTGAGGTTGCTGCTTTTAGTCTTACCGCTATTCAACCAAACTGTCTGGCATGGTAGGACCTTGAGGAATGATTGTTCCGACCAGTATAGCCTGATTGGTTCATCACGACAGGCAAGCCCGACCACCATGTCAGGGTAGCAGCAACGGTCAGGCATCTGATTGTAGAATTAACTATGGATGGAATTAACTTGATAGTATGATAGAACTTGACAAACAATTGTATTTATGATGATACCCTACACCAGAATAGAAACATTTACACATGAAAGTTGGAGTGAAACAAAACTCACTATGAAGCTGGGTGGGTATAACCAAATTCATGATCTTTGTTTGGGTCGTCAAATGATGATATTATCGAGGTTGTTATTTTTTCTCCTGCTTCATTACTGTTTCCTGATGTTGTTGCACTATCTGGATAAACACTTTCATTTAAGCCCAAAGCATTAGCACACCCCGCAGCTGTTCTAGACGACCGCACAAATTCAGCCCATGAATAACCCTCACCATGGCTACTGTCACAAGTAACTAACCACTTCGAAAATTCTTCATCTGTTAAAAATGGAAATCTAACAAAATAACGTGTTCTTGAATGAACTTTTGTCTGATGTAAAAAAGAAGGAAAAAATTCCAAGAGAAATCACAGTGAGTTAGGAACTCAGAATTATTTTCATTCAGAAAAGAAATGATGAATAATTTGAAATAAATTGATAAAAATAGAGGCTTTACATGGTGGTCACTCGATTCCAATACTATTGGAATTTATTAAACTATTGGTGGAGTTAGATTCTCTGAGCTAGACGGTTAAAATGAAATTCTTTTCATTTTCATTCTGAACACTAATATCAGAGCCTACTAATTCATGTAGACGCAAGTTTATTCAATCACTTCACAAGTGCCAAATCATTTTGTTCTGATAACCTGATTTGGTTATATTCATAGATCCTTGAAATCTCGTTTTACGTTTTGTTCAAATGACCTGTGATTACATAAGTGATTAATTGATGTTTTCCGTGTATATTGGTAAATTGGTTCAATACTGTTAAGCCTATTGATCGTATATTGACCTGAATCCTCTGATGATTTATTATGTAGGAAACAGTCAATCAATCTAGTAGCGTACTGCTAAGGTAATGTCATTTTCTTATACATATATCCCATATTCTGGAGAATGTAATATTTGTTCAAAGATTAATGCATAATAGCACCATATGATGAAATTTCAAAAGAAAAAAATGTGTTAGGTCCTTTCCTTTTTCAAAAGTGACAAAAAACGGATATTTGACCCTGCACAAACGTACTGAAATTAACTGAGCTACTTAAGAAAGAAATATATAACTAATAATAAAACATAAACAGTAAATATGAGTATTTATTAGTAGTATGAATTACTAGTAGTCGGAAAAATTTTGAAAAGAAAAACTGTTACGAGATTGTGAAAAGATGACGACAAAATTCTCAAATACAAAATCTAAAAAAATATATCAGTAAAATAGAAGACAAATTGTGTTGAAAAAAGGATGAAAATAGAGCTGAAATCAATAACTTTAAAAAAAATACCTCACACAAGTACACACCGAAAAAAGTTCAATATGAACAATCGAGAACCATTTAAAAGGGGAAAATGTTATCAGTAAAGTGACGTTGTGTTTAGCAGTGGAATTTAGGACACATGGTATATGCCGGTGTTGTATGTTCCCATTAAACATTTTATTTAAAGTCGTATTTAGTGATAATACTTATGGCCTTTTAAATAACTATTGACAAAACAATTAAAACTTCCTAATAATAACTTATGCCAAATAAGTAGTGAATCCTAAGACCCCTTCATATCCAATCCACAATTCCCATAGATTTTTAGAGATTTCAGAAAATGTGACGATTATAGACTGAATTTAAGTCCGTCTGTAGCTCTTCTAGGGTTATTGCCGATCCGAAGTTCGAGTAAAGGAGGGCAGGGCATAGAGTTAGCAACACCATCCCGTAGAAAAAAACCTTGCCAAAAATACGCTAACCAGAATAAGTAAATTAAACCTGGGAGTTGAAGCAAGAAATATGACAACTCATGATGAAAGACAAGATTTTTCGGAAGTCACGAGGTTGATGCCCTCTGTAACAGCCAGAGCAACAATCATGACAGGTACATGGAACTTCCGGACAAATGTGGAAGACCGGGAGAACTAATCAAACACAAAAATGAGGAGATACAACTTGATAGTGATCGGATTCGGTGAAACCCATTAGATCCAAGCTGGATAGATTTGGAAGAGATGTTGCCGTACTCTGGTCATGAAGAAGAAAATGCTCCACATACTCAAAGGGTTACTCTGATGCTGTCCAAAGAAACACGAAAACCACTTCTAAGATGGAAATCCCATGAATCCATAATCTTCAAAACATCCTTGAAAATAAAGAAGGAGGGGACCAGAATGAATGTTATCCAGTGCTATGCACCCACCAATGATAGCAGTGGGGACCATAAAGATCAGTTTTATGAGAGGTTGGAATCGCTCATAGCGTAGTGATCAGGAAAGGACCTGACCATTCTGATAAAAGACCTAATTCATTCGAAGAACTACACTGCAAAGTCGTGCATAAAGGACAGCTGGTAGGTGTATTCCAAGTGAAAAAAATGGAAACTTTGATATATCTTAGCAGGACCATCGATAAAAAATTAGGATCTGCTGAAGATGTGAAGTCAATGATTGTCAAAGCAAGGGAATCATTTCTACACCCGAAGAAAATATGCAACTCAAAACAATTATCAGCCAACATCAAAGTCACAATCTTCAATACGAATGTTAAAACAGTTTTACTATACCGACATGAAACTTGGAGAACTACTACAACCATCATCAAAAAAGTACAAGTATTTCTAAACTGTCTACGCAAGATACTCAATGTTCGTTGGCCGGATACAATCAGGAACAACCTACTGTAGGAAAGAAAAGAACCAAATTCCTGTTGAAGAGGAAATTAAGAAAAGACGTTGGACATGGATAGTACAGACATTTCGGAAATCATCAAACTGCATCAAGAGACAAGCGCTAATTTGGAATCCTGAATGGAAACGAAAAAGAGGAAGACCAAAGAACGAACTGCTTCGGGAGTTGGAAGCAGACATCAAAAGTATGAAAAACAACTGGAAAGGATTGCCCATGACAGAGTTGGATGGAGAATGCTGGTGGGTGGCCTATGCTTCTCTATGAAGGGTAACAGACGTAAGTAAACCACTAGGTCCCGACCACAAAACTATGGAAGTAAACTAATGCCACCAGGCCTGAGAGTCCAAGTTTCAATCCTTGGTGGAGTCATCATCAACATCCACATATATTTCAGGACTGTTACATTTTAATCACAGTATTTCGCTTGCATAGTTAAAAAACATGATGTTCTGCTTAAACACATTACCATAATTTTATCATAATCACCGTTTGCTTGAAATGCTAAAACTAGACTTTGATATCATGTTAAGCTACAATCTAACACAGCTATTAAAAGTAGCAGAATTTATGTACGACAGAGCGATTCAGACTAAATAGAAACACGAGCAGTTACTATTCACACAAACAAGATGTTTTACGAGATAATAACTAAATGTGACTCAGTAACCACATAAATCCTACTGCAGAAGACTTTAAGCACAATCCAAGATCCCACATATTAAGCAGAGTTGAATAGTGGCTATCAGTGGAATTTAGGACGCGCATTTCGTCTTATTTGGTACTCGTCACTTGGATGTACCTACACCACAGTGTTGAAGTCCACTATTGATCTCTAGTAAGATGAAACTACAAAACTACTTTGTTTTTCATTGTATTGTATAAGCTAAATATTGCTCCTCCAACTCTCTCTAGTTTTCTTTCTATCGTTTCTCTATTGTTACTTACTTGCTCATAACCATACTATAACAATAATAATAATAATAACCAGAAACAACGAACAGCTGCGAAAACTGGCTCATATTCGAATTTTGTTTGTTAGTCCTACTTTTTTTCAATATTGATTGTTCACTTAATGGTCAGTAGGAGGAAGAAACCTAAGAGAAGAATGGAATAGAGAAAAAGAGAGACAAATAAAAGGCAACCCCTCTATGGATATACTTCTCTCTCTAATGATGTATATATCCTCTATTTGGAATTACTTTATTCTGAGCAAAAAAAATCAAAACACACAGATACACTCAACATGGAGAGAGTTGGAGAGACACAAAGAAAGAGATGGCTATATCAAAACAAATAATGAAATATAAACAATGATCTAAGTAATGCGATAACTAATTAAGGCAAGTTAAAAACAGCAACAGATGATTAAGCACGAATAATTCACTTGACAGTAGAAGTCGTTCATTATCAACGTAAAGACTGGCACCGATATGTATTGGCCCGAATTATCATACCATATTAGAACAACGAGGTAAAAATAGCAAGATGTATAATATAAGGAATGTAGTAACAGTGATAATCTGAAAGACTGAACATTGAGAATATGGTTCGAAAGAACAAAGAGAAAAGATATGGTATTAAGGAATACTGGAAATGAATATCGAGAGAAATATAAAGAGTGGATCCATCTGAGCCATTGTAAACGATTTTAGGCTATTTCACTTAGAGCTAAAAGCCACTGTTTATGGACCTCAACCAACTAGTCTTTATCCATCTACATAACTCAGTTCAAGTTATTAGATTTATGTATTGATATCATATCTTGATTTAACCACTACTAGCTTCCTTTCAACATACATATACACTAGTAAACATCATCCGTTGTGGTAGGCAGTGGTTACGCTTAACTCTACAACCTTTTTTTTAACATCTAACAATACAAAGAAAATAGTTAAAGTATAATGTAAAGTGAATAATTACTACTGATTGGAAGATTGACTGAGGTTAATATACGATAAGTTGTTTTAATAAGCTTATTTTTTAGCCAAACGAAACAGACACTGTAAGTATCAAGGGAAATCATTAAAATGCACTTCATATTCATTAAATTCTTTCGTAAATGTAACAAATTGATGGATAAGAAATTGTTTTATAGAATGTACTGAAATAAGCAATGTGTACATTCATTTAATAGTAATAAACAATCAGAAATATTCCTATCTGAAGTATGTGACGATAATACCACCCGGAATAACAATGAAAGCTTTGCAAATAAGCCATCCAACACAATGGATACAACATCATCAAAAGAATCTAGCTGGACGACAAATCTTCCCCAACATTTCACAATCATAAACAATGTTGATAATAATAAAAGTATGAGTTATATCAGAAAATGATAAGTGGAATTTTTTAACATAATCATCTTGAAAGAACATGTCCAAGTCGTTATGTAGATGCAATAATAATGATGAAGTATATCACTGTTTTATTCCTATTTTAATCTGGATATTCACATCAATACAAACACCCTCGTTCGTCAATATATTGAAGACAGAAATGTGAATAACACGAGCTGTCATGACAAAACTTACAGGATTAAAGATCGTACATATCATACAATTAATTATTTCTTTTTTGATAAAATACACATATGTATGTGTTTCCATTTAAAATATCCAGTAAAGTGATTGTGATTGAAAAAAGTGAAATGACAACC